CAGTACAAGTAGTTGTCTATGTCTCAGGGTTATCCATTCCTTTAGCCAAATAAGGGTAGCTGCTTGATCATATAGTTCCCAATTTGGCAACCCAAAACCTCCTCTATTGCATTAATTTCAGCCTAATTCTTGCCTTCCTTACCTTGCAAATTTATCAAATTTACAATATAAATTTGGTTACCATTCTATACAGTTCCTCAGAATATTTCATTTCTAGCTTTATTGTTATTGTTTGGAACAGGTATAACAGTCTCAGTAAGATATTCATTTTAAAGTGGCTATTCTTTCTAATAGTGATAATTGCATGTTTTTCCACTTTTCCAGATCCGTTTTGATTTGCTGTGTTAATTTTAAATAATTGTCTTCTTTTATGGTTATGCATCTCGCTGATAGGTGGATTCCCAAATATTTTACTTTTTTTACTATCTGAATGTCTATCTTTTCTATTAAATTTTTTTCTGTTCCTTTGTAAGATTCTTAAATAAATTTTAGTTTTCTCTTTGTATATTTTCAATCCTGCAACGTCACTGTAGTCTTCTATTTTCTTTATTAATTTGGATCCCATTTCTTGTGGTTCCTCCATGATGAAAACCAAATCATCTGCAAAGGTTTGTAATTTGTAATCTTCTTTTTTCATTCCATGCCTTTTATTTCTATATCTTGACGAATGTTTCTATTTTTTAACAACAGAGTCAAAATAAATAGTAGGGGGGGACAATGTACATCCTTGTCTTGTTTAATATTGATATTCTCTGTTATGTCCCCATTCACAAACACTTTTGCAGTCTGTTTGGTGTATATTGCCTTGATCATAGTGATAAATTTCCCCCCAAATTCCATATATTATAGCTGCAATAACATGAATTGCCAGTTTACATTATCAAATGCTTTCTGAGCTTTAGGAACATCAAGGCCATTTGTTTTTCCAGGTGTGTTTCATAATATTCCAATGTGTTCAAAATGATTCTCATGTTGTTTTTAATTTGTGTATTCGGCAGGAAACCATTCTAGTCTGAGTGCATTAATTCATTTAGGAATCTTTTCAATCTTTCAGCTATTATTGATGTATAGATTTTATAGTCCACATTTAGAAGTAAGATGTTTCTGTAGTTTTTGATCTGCAATAAGTCTGCGTCAAAGGTAGTATTCAGCAGGTTCAGACCAGTTCTGGAGAACCGTTAGTGGAAATTTTGAGTAGTTCGGAAAATCGGCAGATACTACCTCTGACTGGTTTTACAATATCTTTCCCCTGCCACACCCACCAAGCGATGGCCACAGAACCGGTAGTAAAAAAAAAAAATGAATCCCACTACTGGTCTTTATCTTCTTTTGGTATGAAGGTGATATTTGCTTCCATCCAGGATTTTGGTATTTTAGCTTCTAATTGCTTCATTCTAATTTAGCTTCATTGTAAACTTCATTGTAAATTGTAAACTTCACTGTAAATTGTAAACTTCATTGTAAACTTCTAGCAGTAATAGTCCCAGAAAATCTTGTAATTGTTTATAGAATTCTGCTGGTAGGCTATCTGGCCCTGGTGTTTTATTCTTCTTCTGTCTCTTGATTGCCTCTATTAATTCAACATTGTTATCCTATAATGATAATGTAGCTTTTATTTCTTCAGGGACTTTAAGAGAGAATCTGGTCTCTTCTAGATATCATTTTATTTTATCCTCCAATAGTTCCTCTTAGTCATAGAGATTTTCATAATAGTTCTGAATTATTATTTTTTTGCTCTCATTTTGATGTTGTAATGTACCTTTCTCACCTCAAACTTTGTATCTGTTTCTTTTTCTTTTTTAAGTTTATATGCCAACCATTTTTCTGATTTATTAGTATTTTTGAAGTTTTGTTTTATATTCTTAATTTTATGTGCTAGTTCTTTTTCAAGTAGGCTCAGTTTGTATTTTATTATTTCCATTTGATTTTTGAGCTTCTTTTCTTGTGGCTTTTCCTGCAATTCCAGTTCTAATCTGTTGTACTCTGCCCCCAGTGTTGCTTTTCTTTACTTTTCTTTCCTATATAGGAAATAGCTAATATAGAGTCCCACTAACTCTATAATAAAATTTGCAGATGACACCACGTTGGTGGAACTCATATCAGGAGAAGATGAGACGGCCTATAGGTCAGAGGTTCTCAGACTGGTCTAGTGGTGCAAGAGTCATAACCTCGCCCTGAACATCAAAAAGACAAAAGAATTGATTATAGACTTCAGAAGATACAAAGCAGAGCCTCTCCCACTATATATCAATGGAGACTGTGTGGAAAGAGTTCATTTCTAGGAACACATATTTCTGACAACCTTACTTGGTCAGTCCACACTATGGCCACAGCAAAGAAGGCCCAACAGCACCTGCACTTTCTGAGGCTGCTGAAAAAGAGTGGTCTGGGTGAGAAGTTGCTGGTTACTTTTTACCGTTCTACCATCGAGAGCATTTTGGCATACTGTGTAAGGGTGTGGTATGCTGGATGCTCTGCAGTGGATAAGAAGATGCTCCGGAGAGTTATAAACACAGCACAAAAAATCATCGGTAGCTCTCTTTCTTCTTTGGAAGAGATTGCGAAGACCAGACTCCTCTCTAGAGCACTAAAAATCTCCACAGATCATTCTCATCCTGGACATTCATATTTTGAACTGTTACCATCAGGGAGGCATTATAGATGTTTTAAAATGAGGACTAATAGACTGAGAAACAGTTTCTTTTCCAAGGCAATAATTGTCTTGAATCAAACAATGCATATGTGAATTAGCCCTATGTATATAGTGGCATTTTAAAACTATCTTAACTTACTATATGTTTTAGATAGGTTTTAGACTAGGTTTTGATTATGTTAATGATTTTAATTTTTAAATACTCTAGTGTGATTGTGATGTGGTGTTTGGGACACTGTGCTGGAGTAGCTTTCAAATTTCATTGTATTTGTAGAATGCAATGATAATAAAGGTATTCTATTCTATTCTATTCTATTCTATTCTATTCTATTCTATTCTA